TGCTGTTTCTAGCTGTTGTGAGTCACTTTGGAGCCAAACTGCACAGACCCCGGCTGATAGGGGCTGGTTGTCTGGTCATGGCCATTGGATCAGGCCTAACTGGGCTGCCACATTTCTTCATGGGACGGTAAACATGTACATATATACATATTTCCACTGTACACCATTTCAGGAGCAGTTTCACAACAGGACTCTGTTAAGATTTTGTTGCCTACATCTTAGTTTGAATGTACAACATACAAATCTAAATCTGAATGATCACAAAGTTCTTGACCCAGCATGGGACAGTCTAAGTGCTGTCGTAAAATGGAATAGGAAAATGTTACAATTTTAAGAAAAGGAGATTTTCTGCAAGCCATTGCTACTATAAATGTATAATTATTCATTAGCATCCAAATTACATAATTCTTTTGAAAACTGATCAAATGTCAATTTCTGTTCTTATATATACTTCTTATTACAGCTATACTTATGACACTGTCATCCAAAGTGCAAACAATGAAACCGCCAGCATATCTCCTTGCCTACTGTTCCAAAACCAGTCTGGGACTCTACAGGGGCCTGAGAAACAGCCATTGAACCATAAAGCAGGTGTTGCTGATTTTTTAAATCTTTACATGTAACAAATTATGCATTTTAGTGTAATGCCAGGTCTCACCAACAATCAAAGAGTAATTCTAATCACTTCTGCTTCTCTTTGGAAGTGCTACTTGTTTTTTGTCACCTTCACAGGTTGAAAATGCAAAGATTTACAGATTTAAAGATTAACAGAGTCCCACTCCTTTTTAAATTAATTTGCTAAAGCGCTTTCTTACGGAAGCTTATTAGCGCCAAGGAGCAAAAGCAATTATCTTGTTTCTACCATACCTTTCTTTTTCCTTGTATTTTTTTCTTAATTGGCTTATTGCGTCACGCCCCACACTCTCCCTTGCAAACACCCTTCCATTCCTGTCACACCCCACACTCTCCCTCACAAATGCTGTTGCATTCCCAAACACCCACTGTTTCACAATCACATTCCTAATTGAACCCATCACATTCCCACATGCACTAGACTCCACAAATTCTCACTCTCAAACCAATTATCCTACCACATCCCTTTCCTTTCAGTATTTAAGGTTCCCTCTCACTCCCTTACTTACTTTTGAGAAGCCTGGGTGCTTGCCCTAGCCTTCTGAATGACTGCCTGTTATTAACTCTTTGAATTTGGATTGTGTTTTGGATATCTCCTTTTGCTGGACCCTTTTGCCTTCCTTATCAACTGATCCTCTGGATCTTGTCTTTTGGATTGTCCCTTTGCTACTCTATATTCTGTGGGATTCATGGTCATGCACAAGGATCCTCCTATTCTACTGATAGGTTCCCTGACATATTGCTTATCATGAAGATTAGGCAATGTACTTTAAAGACCAGAAAAAAAACTATCATTTCCAGGCTTTTTTTTATTAGTTCTGCTTCCACATCAGTGTTGATGTGGGGAAAACCTACATGTTCAGCCTGTAGGGGTCTCTGTGGCTTTGGGTGTCAAAGAGTGAATGTCTAGGACACATGGAAGTCACACTACTCCTACATAGCAATTTGATATTTCAAATTTGTTTGGTTTTGTTCACTTGAACATTTATAAGCACATCTATTTAAATAAGGTACAGTCTTGGCAGGACAGGTGTCCTACAGCCTGGGTGGAACACCTGGACATACCAGGACATGCACACAAGAAGCTCAATTTACAAATGATAATTGATCTGCCAATTATGTTTTTGAGAGATGGGAGGAAACTACAATACCAGAGAAAAAACACATGGAAACAAGTGGAGGGGATGCAAAACAGAAAGCCACCCAGTCTGGGATCTTGCCAGGCACCAGATGTGCCAAGGCAGGTGCCCTAACCACTGTGCTATCCTGCTGCTTTACTTTCTATGTGCTTTAAATGAAAATCCATCAGATCATCTACATTTGTGTCATGTTTCATGCCACAGCACATGATTCATAAATTAGTGCATCAAATGATGCGGAGTCATGGAAATAAACTGAACAGAACTATTTCTTGAAATCAAGAGAGGCCTTGCCAGAACTGTGCAATTCACAATGTATTTGTATTGAATTATTCAAGGTTATAGCCCCCATACTATAAAATGTCTGTCTGTGCTAACTGGAGGATTCCAGTGGCTGAGAGGTGACCGGAGGTTGAGTCTGAAGTGGGCACCCAGCTTTAGGAGATGTCTGCCGGCGTGGTCCAGATGATGCCTGGAAAATGGGTTTCATCCTCTTCCAGGCGCTGCCCTGGAGGATCGACAGTGCTTGTGGAGACCAAAGACCTGTCGCTCCCACTGGTCTGTCGCGCCTTTGCTCTTGGGTCTGTAACAGCACCAGGAGTGGCACTGGTCATGACAGTTAGTGGTTAGGTTCAGACTCTGAGAGTACACAAACAAGCTGCCACCTCCTGCTGTGAATTTTATCATGGGGGACTCAAGAAGAATCTATAATATTGGGATCATTACTCAGCAGCTCTGAAGTAACCAGATATTACGGGCCAAGTGATCACATCTCACACATTTCTTACATTCTTCTCATTCTTCATGTTCCCAAACACCTTGAATTGTGATGCCTTGTTTGCGTTTCTCTCACTGTCACTAAATGCAGGGTGTGGCAAAGAAATAGGATCCAACATGTGGGTGTACGTGTTTTTGGGGAATGCATTACGTGGAATTGGAGAAACGCCAATCACACCTCTAGGAATATCGTACATTGATGATTTTGCCAAAGCAGAAAATTCTGCTTTCTACATTGGTACGTTTCTTTGTTAAAGCAAAAATTCTTAAAAATCCAAATTTGCTCTTAATTCTATAAGAGGTATAGTAGATAAGTAATTAAGATGGGAAATATCTTGTTTTATTAGGAAATAGAAAGAAAGCTTCACTTATGTTACTTCATATACTTTAAGGTTTTGTATCAAGAGTCAGTCCATGGTTTTGAGTAAGCTATTGAAATTCAAAACCTCATTGAAAATGTGAGCTTGGATAATTAATGTTGGTGCAGGTTCATATTTTAATTTCTGTTTTTCCAGTACTATTTCTTTAAGTGTAATTCAACTTTCTGAGTTTTTTTTTTACAGCTTGTCTACAAACAATTTTTCTTCTCGGCCCTGTGTTTGGTTTCTTGCTTGGATCGCTGTGTGCCAAACTGTACGTTGATATAGGATTTGTGAATCTGGGTAAGAGAATCATCTAATACTCCATTAAGCAAATAAGTGTTGTAGACTATGTGTCCTTCTACTATTAATTGTCACACAAAAAATCTAACTTGTGGGTGTTTGTGATTGATAATTGGCAGTACTAAAGTCTGATGTGAAAAACGACCCATATTTAAAAAAATACAAAAAAGGTCTAGTTGTTACAGTCAGAGCTGTATTTATCAGTGAAAAGTGGTTCTACTACATTAGCACAGGACTTGTGTTTTGTAGTTTCACTTTCGAAACTGAATTGTATTTAGGTACCAACACAAAAACAGATAATTCAGTTGGGTTAATGCCCAAGGAATGTAATTAACTCTATTGAGGAAAAAGGTTTAAATCATTTCCTTTTATAAAAAACTAGACAAAAAGGTACTTAAAAAAGTGGACAAGGACTAAACTATTACAGAACATTTGGATTATTCATCTACTCTAATTCCATTCTAATTTATAGATAACCATTCAAATGCAGATTAGAATTACAACATCCAGTATAAAAAAATATAGTCAGTGTGAAAAATATTAAATGTAATCTGACATAATACATTATTCCTTCATTTATTTTTCCATTATGTGAGTTACTGTAGCAAATTTTAATACATTTAGGGCTGTAGCCTGGAAATATGGTTTCTAGAAATTATTCTATGATGAGCCTTATATACCATGTATAAAAATACTTAAGATTTTTTGTTTTAAATGAGTGTACCATAGTTCTAGCTGCATACTCCTACTGTACATGGCCAGTTTGTCCTTTGTTATGAAAGCCAGGTTAAGAATTGCTCTCCTGTTCTCCTATTAATAATCACAGCATTTCCAAAAATAAAATATTAAGAAATAATGAAAAATCAGTGCATGATAACATACTTATGTAAAAATGACAGCAAATATTAGTATTATAAGGATAGTTATGTCAACGCTATTATCAGTAGTCATGTTGTTTTTTAAAAATAATGTTTATACTTACACCCCTGCTGAGATGCTGTGCGCTGGATAGTAAAAAAAAAACGACTTTCTGCTTTTCTCTTTCCAGACAGTGTGACTATCAGTCCGAGAGATGCCCGCTGGGTTGGCGCTTGGTGGCTGGGGTTTTTCGTGTCATCTGCCATCATGCTGTTCGCTGGCATTCCATTCTGGTTCCTGCCGAAATCATTGCCGAACCCAGAGGAGGAGAAGGAGAATGCTGGGAAGCAGGAGCAAGCAGAGAGCGAGAGTCTTCAGCCGCAAGATGTGAGCGGAGGCAACACATCTGTGAAACTCGTGGATATAGCCAGAGGCAAGGAAACTTTCTTGTTCTTCTCAGACTCTTTTGCTCTTCGTGTTGTGAATAAAAACAACAGCTTTGGCAATGCAGTCCCAATACCTTTAGAAGGCACTGCACTGTATATTCCTGGTCTCGTGAAGGACATACACAAACTTGCTCATTTTATTTATGATGTGTACGTGAATTTGTACTTAACCAGAATTTGGAAGAATGGCCTTACCCAAGTGTGGAATTGTCTTGAAGTGCATTACTGAAAAGCTTTCAGTTAATTTTGTGTGCCCACAAACTCAGTTTTTTTTGTCCCACATCAGGCTTCCTGCCGTCACTAAAAAAGCTCTTGGGCACTCCAGTCTATTTCGTACTGGTGTGTGGAAGCATTCTGAAATTCAACTCCTTTATTGGATTGATCACTTTTAAACCCAAATACATGGAGCAGCAGTTTGGACAGTCTGCCTCAGGAGCAAACTTCTTCATAGGTAAGTGCTCATCTGCCACACAGATCGTTTCTACTAAACAGTGTTCAATATTTACAGTGGGACGGTGAGCATGCTTTTGGTTTTTTTTTTAAATGTACTCGCTCTGAGTTTGTTTTCTGTGTAGTTTTGCATCTTTCTTAACTTGAGATTCCATTTTATGCTGTAAGTCATTTGTATCCTTCACCTTTAAACAGAAAAGGGGTTTTACATTTGTTCCTCTAATGTCTTTTAAACATGCTACTTGTGGTACTGGATGCAATTCTTTTGCCATTTCTCCACGTATCTAATTCAATTTAATTATTTCCACTAGGGTTGCTTAATCTCCCAGCAGTGGCTACTGGGATATTTGTAGGTGGATTAATCATGAAGAAGTTCAAGATGAGTGTAGTTGCTGGTGCTCAGCTCTCTTTTGCAACTTCCTTTACTGCATATCTTCTCTCAGTGACCCAGTTTGGAATAAAATGTGAAAACATCCAGGTAGCTGGACTAACAGTCTCTTACAATGGGTAGGTACCTGTAACAGGAAAGTGTGTGTTTTAAGTATCAAACATTTGATTTTATTTTTACTAGTTTAATTTAAACAATAATTGCAGAGCAGCGCTTGATCCTATCATTCATCTAAAAGCTGGAACCTGGAGTTCGAATGGAGAATCCTTTTTAATCTTCTCTTGCAGTAGTATCAGGTAGGGTTGTCCTCAGGCAATGTACTGTAGTTGATAATATAATGAAGTTTTCAGCAGTGTATACATCTGTCACAGGGTCAATCATGAGTCTCAACAAGAAATCTCCCTCATATGAGGTTTGACTTTGACACACACAATGATACAAAGATCAATTCTACTGGGGTAGAGTTCTGATAGTTGGGTTTAGTAACACAAGGTTGCAGTATCAAGACAATCACATGTCAAAAAGAGCTTGAAGACACTGTCAGATGAATGAACTACTGCAAATGAACAAAACATAATAAACTGCATGCTTTGTCTGTTTTTGTTTTCTTTTAATTTGGTTGCCCTGACCCGGAAAACAAAGGGCAGATATCTCACATTAATTTCACGCTGACTTTTTTAACGCATGATTTCCCCCAATAGCACCAGCTAATTTTTTTCTTACTTATTGTTCCCCTGCAGAACCAGCCAGGTCTCAAACGAAGACAGGATGTTGCTTTCAGATTGTAACAGAGGTTGCTCCTGCTCCCTGAGGGGCTGGGACCCTGTGTGCTCAGAGAACGAGGTCACATACATGTCTCCATGCCTTGCTGGCTGTAAAAGCTCATCTGGATTTGGAAGAAATATGGTATCTTTCTAGCTTACAAAAACCACAATATAAATACAGCTGATTAATGTAAGAGATGTGTTGTAGCCATAAATTGTAAAATCCATTCTGGCCTGTCACGGAAAACAAACTGCAGTACAAAGATCAAAAGGATATGTGCATATTAACTCGCAATGTCCACACACTTTTCTTTTTCTGTTTGTTATACATTGTATATCCATTGCACAGTGCCTTGTGATGGATTTTATGATGGCCATAAAACTTGCTTTACAAATTAAAAGTTTGATTGATTGATGTTCCTGCTGCTACAATGTCAACTAACAGCCATAGCCGTATCCTATTTAATTAGTGCTAAGCAATCATAGCCAAATGTTCTAATTTAATTAGAACTTAGAGCTGAGTTCAGTAATAACTTTTGTTTGCACTTTATAACATTTATTATTCACTGGTCATGTGGCTAAATGCAATACTGCAATAGCTCTCAGAGTAATTCAGCAAAATCAGTCAGACTTTGCCAAAAACCTTCTAGCTTTTATAAATGTCTACCAAGATCGATTGATAACTTGGGTCTTAACGAAGATCTCTTGTACAGTACATAAGGAACAATAATCTGAATTAGGGTAAATAAAATGGTGGAGCTATTCAAAAAAGCATGCTGGCATCATATTTGCTTTGATATTGACTTTAATGGCTTATAAAAATGTACGTAATGATTGATGATATGATTTGATTTAATGATTTGATTTGGTTCTCAGTACTACTAATTTAACAAACAGAAAGCCTGGTATTCTAGTGTGGATGTCTCATTGTTAGAATTACTGTTAATATTATTACAATATGTTTTCTGCCTCATGAAATCTTGATTCATGTGATTCTTGGATCTTTTTTATAGGTGTTTCACAACTGCACCTGTGTGGCATCTTTTCCTCCTCCCTCTGGCAATCTGTCCGTTGTCGTGGGCCAGTGTCCCAGGAAAGACGAATGCAAGAGAAGCTTCATCGTCTACATGGCGGTATCCGTCCTCAGCTCCTTCATAAACGCATTGGGGATCACTCCAGGGTACATGGTCATCATCAGGTACAGTAAAGCCTCTCTGGGCTTCACACTCAGGGGTGAACTAACTTGCCTCTTTCAGTTCCTGCCGCCTTATCGAAGGCTGGTTCAACCAGTATTTCATACCTTAACTAATTAATATTTCATTAACTCTGCTTACCTAAATAATGAAGGATCAAGTACACGCATTGTCATCCAGCACAGAATGGTCACTTTGATGCCGTGAATTCAAAAGTTGTGAAAGGAATATATGTAACATAAAAACCCTTGCTGGAGGACACCTAAGTGGGTTACCCAGAAAAAGTGCTGCAAGGAGTACAAGGAGGACCGATGCCTCACAAATTGAACAATGCATTAAGGGACCAGATCCCCTCAAAGCATAAATTAAACAAGACAAATCCCCCCCCCCAAATGAAAAACATGCACAAGGGTAAATGTAGCATTGGCTCTGCTGGGCGATACTGTGTTGCAACACTTAAAATGAGTCTATAGGTGGACATGTCCACCTGTCTCATTCTAAATTGGGGATGGGGCACCAGTAGCTGCCAGAATCTTAAAACCGTAGGGAATTACAAATTGGGTGGGATTTTAAAAAATGTAACCCTAAAAATATGCTTGTGGGTCACATTTTGCAGGCTTTTCAGTAATTCTATTGGTATCATTATAATTGTGCTCTGATTAATACACATAGCTTTCATTTCAAACTCAATAGCTTAAACTTTTCTTTCAGGTTAAGGCTCACATACAGTTAAAGCAGAAAGAAAGAAGAACTCACTGAGCCCAACAGTGGCATTTCCTGAATTGCAGCTGTTGCTTAATACTATTACTTTACATTGAATACTCCAGTTTTTAGTTGTGTATAATTTACTGCATTCAAATGTGAAATAACATGTTTATAACAATTTTTGCTTTGGCGTATTGTAAAGTTCCTTACAGGGTGTGTCATGAAAGGTGCAATATAAAAACAAAACTTTCAAATATTCTCCCCTTTGCCACATAGTACTGCACCCAAAAAAATTACTTGTTCTTCTTGTAAAATAAAGATTGTTATGCTTCTGTTAAAGAAGACAGGTGGTATACAGGTTTATTAAATGTCATGACAAACCCATAACATAGTATAGTAGTATTTAGTAGTTTGATGATAATTACTACTTAATGTAAATCTTTTGAATGTTTGCTGTTTTGCAACATTTTAAGAGCTTTGGGTGGTGCTTCGGGTTTTTTGTACACTTTGGATACATACGATAAAATGTGTTTCTTAAAAGTTATTGAAATGTGCTGTCATCCTTCAGGTGTATAATGCCAGAGCTGAAGTCCTTGGCTTTAGGAATCCAGACACTAATGATAAGAACTCTGGGTAAGAGACATTCCTCTCTATTCATCTATATTCTGTAATCATAACTACCTAAAATATCATGCTTTCTAGGGTTACGTAATACAGACACTTGGTGATACTTCTTTTCATAACATGGATTGATGGCTAAAATATTAATATTTATTATCATAGATGTTAATGTTAATTTAATTAGTATTTTGACAGGGACACTATTTAATCATTGCAGAGTTTTTTTCTATAATATTACCATTGAGTAAGAAATCAGGCTTGTCATGTTAAGAATATAAGAACAAAAGGAAGTGTTTAAACCAATGAGATACTAGGATGGGAAGGCACTGATTGATCCAAGAATGTCAAGCAGGACATTTCCGCAAGAGTTAGGAGATCAGCTTCCCTTTGTATAAAGTAATACCCTCATAGTCTTATCTGAGGCTGTTATATGTTATTTTTTTAATCTTTTGAAGAAGTTCATTGTTTCAAGCCTTAAAATGCATCTGGTTGCTCTTCCCTGGAAGAGAGCAGCTTTTGTGTCTTTTCTATAAGATGGTAAATTAAAAAAAACTGATTTAATTCAAGACTTGACAAATACCTGTTAGATGAAGAGCAATGCAGGCAAGTACAGATGGCAAAAACAAATGGATATGCTGTACAGGAGGATGAGAAACAATATACTTGAAGAGGCTTCTTATGAAAAGTAAAATTCTAGGGGATATAGTTAAAAGCATACAGTAGGACTTCAATTAAGGGATGTTATGTTTATGGAATTGTGGCATTGCAGCACTGGGACCCTGGGTTCAATTCCAGATCGGGAATGCTATCTGCATGGAGTTTGTATGTTCCCCCTGTGTTCGCCTGGGTTTCCCCTGGGTGCTCTGCTATCCTCTGATAGTTCAAAAACATATGGCTTCTGGGAAAGCTGGCCTGGTGTGAGGGTGGGCCTGCCTGTTTATGGCTGTGTGTGTCCTGCAATGGACTGGTGTCCAGTCAGTAGGTCCTGCCTGGCACCTATTTCTTGCTGGATGGGTGGATGGGTGTCTTTTAAAATTGTCTAAAGGATTAGTCAGTAAGGCCTCATTTAGAGTATTATATATAATGTTGGTCGCTACATTATAAAAAAGATTTTGCTGCTCTGGAATCAATCCAGGCTTCAGGGAATATCCTGCACTGACAGGATGAAGGACAGTTTAGTCTTGAACAGAGAAGACGATCATGTAACCTGGTACGAGTATTCAAAATCCCAAAGGCATTGAAAAAATCAACTCAGTTCATTTCTGCAGAATTCACATTGTTACACGGTACAAAACAGAAGGATCAAGCAAAAACTACATGAAAGCACATTTAAAACCAGGAACAGCCCCTAATTCTTTATCTCAAGGATTGTGAGGGTATAGAACAAGCTACCCAGCTGTATTTTAAGCCAAGAGCATTGACTCTTTAAAGGTACAACTGAATGAGATCCTTGGATTACTTAATTTCTAATTACCAAAAGGGCTAGACAGGCCAAACTTATAGCCATTTTTATTTTCTTAATTATTGTATACCACAATCTAGAAAAATTGAATAAAAGAAGAGCAGTGGTCCTAGCACAGATCCCTGTGGTCTCTATTGATACCTTCACCCCATTTCGAGTATTTAACCCTAATCTGCACTCTCTGTTCTCTGCTCATCAGTTTTCAACCCAAGCATGCACAATACCTTGAATGCCTTAAGAACTAATTTTTCTCCAGGATGCTACTCTCACACCCTTCTTGCATTCATAAAAGGTGTCTATTGAAATGACTGTTTAATCAGCTGTTTTTGGCACTATCAACACAACTCAAATACCAAATGCCGAACGTTTTTATGAAATCACATAACTGAAGAAGATTGTTTTGTATTCCAGGAAACAATAGTACTCAAACAACTAATACTCCTATTTGCACACTGTTTAAAACCTAAATAGCATTATACTGTATATGTGCCCACTGAGTGATTGAGTTGAAAGACAATGTTGCATTTCTGATTCTTCACTGTCCTTCACTGTCTCACCCACAGGGGGTATCCCAGCACCTGTGTATTTCGGAGCACTGATAGACTCCACCTGTTTAAAATGGGGAATTAAGAAATGTGGAGGGAGGGGAGCTTGCCGGATGTATAACTCCAACATGTACAGGTAAAAACCTCCACAGGCTTGCTGTCCCTGCAGAGCCAAGAGCTTGATTGATCAAAGCTGAAAAGAGCTCTAGTTTAATGATGCAAGATTTGGTGTGCAAATCTGTATGGATGGTTATATGGATGGCACAGTGACAAGCAGGTTAGTGCTGTACTGTGCTGGTGCCAGGGTATGCACAGCTCTTGGCTTCTACACTCTGCATGTTCTTCCTGTGTCCACAGAGGTCCAGACACTCAGATGACAGCTGCTAGGTCAAAGACATGCAGCCCTGGTCAACTGTATGGCATCATACTTTGTGTGTTTGTCTTTCCATGGGTTTCTAGCTATTCAGTGTGTATCCTACAAAGCACATACTGATTTCAGCACTGGCATACTGTGACCCCGTCTTAAATTGGTTATTTAAAATGTATGTATGTATTTACAGCAATTCTGTCAAAAAGCATGTTCGTTTAATAAATGAAGCATTAATGTGCCCCCCTAAGGAAAGGTTCCTGAAATGCTGATGTTAATTAATGCCAAAAGAAGCAGAATTAAGGAAGCACTAACTAACCGTATACATCTTCTTAATGTCTCCTTCAAAACAGGCACGTATTCCTGGGACTGATAGTAAGTTTGAGTGGATTATCCTATTTTTTCACAATTGCAGAGATAGTGCTGCTGAGAAAGCAGTTTGGAAAGAAGAGGTTAAAAATAAGGGACACCGATAATATCAGGCGAGCAGAGATGGAGTTTGTGAATATGGATAACAAGATTCTGAGCTATGAAAACAAACTGTCTGACTGCCAGCACAAAGACACGAAGGCTAAAGACGGAGTTCAAGGACAGAGCACAGATACCGAGAACAACACAGCACCATGACAAAAGAGCTCTGAACTCACATTTCAAATCCTTCAAACAATTTTACACATTTTACCACAACGTGTGCTAAGGAAAATGCTATTTTAAAAATGTTTTTTTTTCTTTTTCAAATTATAAGAATACGTACAAAAATAAAGGATTTTCAGATGATTTCCAGTTTAGTGTGTTGTATATTTTACATAATCTTATGAGGCACTTTATCAAAAAAACAAGTAATGCCTGCAAGAAAAAGATCAGGTCAGTTCCTGCCTATCATTGCTGAAATTCAAGTAGCAAAGAACAAAGATTTTCAGGATGGATTCTTGCAGACATGGAATATGGAATCTGGCATTTTTTTTACTACAACAGTTCTGAGTGCAGTGATGGTTTAATAAAAAATAAGAAACTGCAGAACTGGACGTTAGTTCTTTCAGGGCTTCAGGTAATTGATGAAGAAGGTAAATGAGTAAGAAGACATGCTCTGAAGCCAACTGTTGTTTTGAGCCAACCTTTTCCTTTCTAGAATGAATTTTTAAAATATCAGACAAAACATTTGGATATAAAACATCTTCAGAATACTGCCAAATTGAGAAGGTGAAGATTGTATTCTTCAAACAGAGTCTGAAGTGTCTTTGTAGTGCTCCACATTTTTCTGTTTAAACAATAATAAAAATTCTGCTACAAATGGTCGTTCTTCAGTAAAATTCATAGTGGCACTGTGAGAGAGAGATGCCAGTTAATTAGAAAACTCAGTAAATTGATCAGTCAGTTGATATTAATTATTAAGTAGCACTCAGAGGAAGAGAACTGAAATTCCATATAATAATAATAATAATAATTATTGCATTAGGACTCACATAAACTGCAGGGTGAGCGTCCCCCGCTGGCCCCACTAACACCTCTTCCAGCAGCAACCTTAGCTTTCCCAGGAGTGGGAAGGAGTTTGGGGCAGAAATAGACTAAATTGACTGATTTACCTTCAGGTAAAGAATGAGTGAGTTTAAGATCAGGATTGACCTCAATGTTGGTTTGTTTTTATGGGAGGTGCACTGGGAACATTTACTTGTTATAACTTTCTGAAAAGGTGTAAAAGTAAAATGACTAAAGGTCATTGAACAGTGATTGGTGAAGATGTGCAACTGGGTCTAATTGAATAGTCTAAGGCCTGGATGTGTTGGAGTTAGAATAAAGTAAAATTAAGAAATTGGGGGATGCTGAGTTAATAAATGTCACGACCGCCAGCCAGCCCAGATCAACCCTCAAAAGAGCTAACCAGTGCCAGGAGCAGGTTAATAATAACAAGCGCTGCTGCACATATTAACCCATCACCACATGCCCTACCGTGAGGCAAGCAGCGCCATTTAAACCATCCAAACCCATTTACCGTTGCTCGGTATTGAGTCTTCTCCTAGAGAGCTATTCCTCGCCTTTGTTTGTACCTCGCTTGCGATAATTCTCCCGCTTTCTGAACTACCCTTTAGCCCCTCTACCTTGAACCTCGCCTACTGCTTTGGATTGTACGCCTGTCTCTGTATCCCCTGGATTTCGAACTACCTTTCACCTTTCGACCACAATCTCGCCTGATGTTTCAGATTAAATACCTGTTTCGATACCTACCCGCTCCTGCGCCTGAATAGGATCCGCATACCTCCTAATTGGGGATTCCTTACAATAAAGGTGAATACGCCAGTGCCTGGTGGGTAATGAAGATGGCAAGTAAAGAATACAGACAAGGAAGGCTGTGCAGTCTGTCCAGCACTGAAGTGCAGCACATAGCTGATTGATGGCTGACAATGATTATCTTCCAGCAGCCACAGATAACCACAGGTGTTGAATATTGAATATTAGATAGGTCAAAATGTGAGAGCCCAAAACAGAATTTAGTCAGCACAGCAAACTTAACATTCCTCCTCTTACAGTTTCATGAGGAGTTTAATCACCAAGCATTCAGGGCCTAGGTTTCATTGTAGTGTCCCTGGTCGCTGGCTTAGAAATTCTGGTCCAAAGGGAAGAAAGCCACCTACTGGGTCAACTTTGTTTATAGCAGGAACCTGGATTTCCTTGAGACCTAGTGAGATAAAGCTGCAAGCTGGTAGTTGCTGTTTTTAAATGCAAAATCTAATGTGCTGTTACACTTGATAAACAGATGGCCATTACCTTTAATTGTATAGTATATGGATTAACCAATTTAAGTAAAAGATTAAAATAAAAGTGTTCCGAGCTTAATGCTACAGATTATCTTCTTTGGTAGCATAATTGAAGGCTTGCCTGAAGTTAGAATAAATTAAACAAGCAGTGGATTGATGCTGTCCATAATTGCAGATGATAACAAGACATTTACATATGAGTGGCTTTCTCATTATTAGAGGTGTGATGACTTCATTTTTCTCATTTCCTAGATCATGATATTCAAGCTGTAAAGTAGCCCACTTTATTCACATGGCTGGCCTCCAAAGTCAAGGTTCAGAGTTTAAGCCTCAAACTTCCAATTACAAGGAGCTCTTCTCCTCTTGACATCCCAGCTATTGTGTGCTTTGCTAAAAATAACATCCTCTCCAACTGCTGTGATGTCTGGACACAGTATAGCAATCATCATTTTGTTTTTGCATAATAACAAAACAAGTATCATTTATTTAAAGGATTAGCTTTTGTAAAAGGATCATTAGCACAGTCCAGTCACTGAGTCAGAAACAGCTTCACTCCTAAATAAGCTTCAGTAGTTTGGTCAAGTTCTAAATACGATTTCAGTAGTTTGGTTCGATCCTAATGAATATGATAGAGGGGATGACATGTGTGGAGGGTATTTGGTATAACCCACCTAGCTAAAAGAATGGTAGCCTAGCTGTGAGGATAAGGCTGCCTGAACCCATCCTCACTATTGCAAGGAATGAACTAGGGAGCTGCTGCAAGGGTATATGGAGTGGTGGGAGGGGTGTGTGAGATGTGAGAAGGCAAGTCCGGGGTGTGATACTGTATATACATGCACAGGAGAGAGGACGTGATTAAGATTTGGATCTAACTTTCCTCCCATACCCCGGTTACAAACTCCACATCAGGAGAGGGTTTGGACACGTAGTGCACACAATGTTTTCAGGGATTTGGGCCTTCTGTTGCTGTGTTAAGGAGTCCAGCCATATTACAAAATGTGTTATATTCAGCAAGTAGTGTCTAAACTATATTTACCAAACAAATGGATTTGTGTCAATCAAGTAAATGGTCCATTTTCAGAATAATAATAAAAAAAAATTGTGGTTACTTAGGTAATTTTCCAAGCCCATTAGTTTTTGTTCCCCCTTTTTATGTTTTAAAGAAGATCAATCACTTGAAAATAGTTTTTGTGTTGTTTTCTGATTTATATCTCCTGTCTTGTCAAAGGCAAAGTGATAAGTCTCTTACCTATCACTTTCTTTTTTATCCCACTTTGATTTTAGTAATTGAGTGTCCAAATATATTGGAACTCCTTACATCCATAAAAGCTTATTATATTCTGTACAGTTTAAATAAATAGATCAGAAGTAAATGACATCTCAAAGAGGCATTTTCTAATTGCTGTATTTTGGGATTGTTTTATACCTCAACCTGCCTGAATTGCAGCAGTAAAACCGAGGTGAAAATCAGTCTGCAGCCTCTCCAAATCAGACACGTCCAGGCATATCCAACTACCTCCCCTCCCAGAGATTGCTGGTTGTTAAAAGCTGCAGGCCAGTACAGAGTTGCTGTCTGTGATTATTTCATCAAACAGTTTCATCAGCAGCAGGCTCTGTATCTCTTTATTTACATAGTGGCTCATGTTTTTTAAAATGAAGCCCCTTTTATTATAGCCAAGAAAAAATACTCTATTTTTCTGGAATAATGTACAGTAGATCTCTATAATAATTGACTTTGTATATGTAATATTAAACATAAGAATGCTCACAAATGAGAAAAGGCACTTTACCACATTTAGCACATTTCATAGTTAGTAGTTTTATTAATCCAAGCATGCGATCCATTTTGGAAAATGAATAGTATACTATATTCACTCACAATACAATTCTACGCCTTTGAATTCCTTCCTGTATGTTCAATTTTTAAATGTGTTTTTAAAAATAAACAACCTTTTCCACACTATCCAATAGGAGGGATGTCAAGGGCTGATCAAGGTTAAATGTAATCATTACAGAATGTCCTGTCATCGAGCAAAGTACTTTGGATGGCAGTTAACTTGCACAGCATAATGTCCAGGAGATTTGCTTTGGAATGACTTGTCATTGCTGGAGAAAAACTGCACATTGGAACTTTGTCACCAAGCCTTAATCTCATAGGCCACTTATGACATGCAAGGTCAAACAAACAGTCTGAGCAAGCTCACAATCTCATACATGTGGAAAGAGAAATTGTCATTTTCACAGGAATTGTAAAGCATATATATTGAACAAATAGTAGAATTGTTGAGAAAATTCTTTGTATAATCAGCAAATTTTACAATGAAACCATTTATTCCATATTTATTTATTTCAAATGCCATATCATGATTTAAGACAGGGTTCATTATTTATACAAGGAATCAAACTGTGAGACCTGCTCAACAAATTATATTTTACTTGTAATAAAAACGTTTTGAAAAATAAAGTTAGGCCATTTTTAAAACACATGAAACAATGAACATCACGCAGTGGACTTAAGTTCATTGAAAATTAATTGCTTTTTTTAACCAAACATGGCAAAATGCTACTGTATTTAAGAACTTCAAAGTCTATTTGCTATTTAGCTATGTTATTTACTGAGCCAATTACATACTGTGTATGTGACACTGTAACCCCCGTTACACTGTCAAAGTTCAGAATTGTTGTTATAAAAAAGTAAATTACATCTGTCATCACAAAAGATGCACTCTTGGGTATTAACCGTTAGCTATCGTATTTGGAAAAGAAACAAAGCATTTTAAGGCCAAAATCTTCTTGTATGTACAGTATGTATTTTTACTGGGACTCTACTGGGAATTTTTACCACATGGAATTATTATGCTCATTTGGAAAGAAGGGAATGACTGTAACGGAACAGTTCTTTCCAGACCCTATGCAGACGACACAATCCGGGATGGAGTGAGGAAACACTGGGGAAAAAGTCATGCAGGAATACGGGGATGAAAACAGGGGGGGTTTCCTTGGTGCGCTGGTGTTCAGGGGGGGTGAGTCCGGGGCAAACAATCCAGTAGAAATCCAAAGGGGTAATCCAAACACGAGCAAAATCCAAAGCCGGGGTGTCCATCCAAGAACAGACAAGGTAAAAACATGAACCGGGTCGGAACCGGCGGAAGGGGAACAGGAACAGAGAATAAAACCTTAACGGGACCAGGCACTTCCAGGTCCCGGACTCCCACGATACGGAGATCAGATGCAGAGCTCGGATTGTCGTCAAAAGCGCCTGGCTTTTAAGGTGGACTGGGAACGGGCTGAAACAGGGGACAGGTGCAGAAAATCAAGTCTGAAGTAAAAGGGCCGGAGCGCCTTTAAGGAGGAGGGACTATAATAGTGACAATGACATCAACTGCTAATGGTTAATTATTATTGTAGTTTAGGCAGGGAAAGGGCTTAAAATTGTAAACTTGAGACCCAGCCAACAAGTGATCATTCTCCTGACTGGCACTCACAAAAGGTAAAGTTTCTTTTGGATTAACAAGACAAGGTATGGAATGCAAATCCTAAATTTTAATTATAACTGACATTTTAATTATATTAATTTGCTTAGCTTTAGGTATGAAAGCCAATGCAAAAATAAAACATAAACAGTAAACAATCAACTTAAAGTTTCAGGCTTTCTAAAATGTGGAAAGATACAGAAATACCGTTACTAAGAGGAAAGTAAAGGTTATAGTACAATTGTACTATTTATAATGTTTTTATTGTGCTAATATGTGATTTTAGATAGAGCTAGTGATTTAACATGATCTGAATATGGTGTATTCTTATGCTGTGCTGGAAATGGAACAATATAACAATTTATTGGCTGAAATGTAAATATTCACTGTACCTACCTCCCTGTCAAGCTACGTAGCTGGTAGGATAATAGACACAGAGATGTATCACACAATGCTTATGGCTTAGTATGTTCTTTACAGAAATCTTTAGAAAAGTGTTTATTAAAGTAAAAATACCAACAAACAGGAAACTGAGAAGTACAGGCATCCTAAGTTACACTGTGGGAAGAAGCTGGTAGAATCAGACAGAAAATGTTACAAGCTAAGACGGATTTTGAAAGTTGATGAATTCCTGGGATTTCATCCCCCTCCCTACCTTTCTCACTCCCTCCCCACACTCCAGTGAAAAGAGACTTGCAACAAACAGCGATCCAGCAATCCACTAACTGGAGCACCATGACTGCAGAGGCCATTCCTTGTGGCTTTTCAGCACCATTGCCTGTAACAGACTGTGGGAAAGGATCTGGAGCCTCAAAGACAAGAAAATGCTGCACTCCTACTCTGAAGGTACTCCAGGAGTAAGAAATACATTTTAGCTGTCATCCACAGATACGTTTTTTTCTGTTAAAAACAATCTCATTTAACAAAAAGCATTGATTCTATATACAGTACATATTGAATTCCCATGGCAATGGATTCTTACTGTTATATTTCTTTGAAGTATTCTCAACATGTGATGTTTGTCTATCTGAATTGAAATATAAATAGTACAGTTCAGAAAATTAATAAATGACTGCACCATATGGTAGATATTTGTGTCACAGTTTAATTAAAATATGAGTATATAGTTAATGGTTTTCATATTTTTAAATGTATTGTTTGGTCCAGGTTTAGTTTAAGTTTGCCAAAATGCTTTTGGTCTACAGGGGATTTTAGAAAGAGTTGGGGGG